TTACGTATGCTCCAACAAGGTCCACTTAAATATATGGATATCTACTTGCTGAAACGAATCCCGGCGTAGCTAATCTCAACGTGATAGGCACGTTAGCTTAATCGAATAAAATAATTCGAAGTGGTTTGTATTCTGTCGAAACTGCCTGACGCGGATCGCGATTTCATTCTTTTTGAATCTCATCAGCGCGTCGCAGCAGCTCCGACAGAACACAGATCAACTAAAAAACCAGACGTAATCCTAAAATGTAGCATCGCACTACAGATGGCGTTTACCGCGCCATTTGTGGTATTTTCTAAAAGATATATATTATTTATTTATTANAAAAAGACGATGAAACATACGATTTGGCAGAACCGTGTTCAGCCACCAGCAGAAAATGTCTCTCTTCTCCTGGTGTAAGGCATTTCCTCAGAAGATCTAAACTATGATTTATTAAAGCAGTTTTAACAAGGGGAATGTCTTCTATATGTTTTTCAGAAAATGTAATGTCTACGTCTGTATCGTAGCTTTCTATGTTATCCGAGCGTTCATCGTAGAGAAGAAAGTGTGAAGGATTTGGACACATTTCTCCAAACGAATCAAATACCTGCAAATTTTATTAATTTCGTCTAAAACTGTTTTATTTTTAATACTGTAAAAATTCTACCTGTTTTATAAATACGTTTCTGCAATCTCTAGACAATTGACTTCCAAGACCGTTCAACAATCCAACCAAAAATTGAGTTTTCGTTTTGGCGTCGTAGAGATGTTGGAAGGCAGTCTTTACAATTGACAAATTTGATTTCGAAAGGGGGAATTTACCCTCATCTTTTGCCCAATCAAAAGCTTAAAAATGTTGAGACAATAATTAAAAACAGACAGCAAACCGATGTATATATATTGACAACCACCTTTATAGAAATACTCAGGGATATAATGTTTCAAAAGATCTCCAACATCATCCTCCAGACTGTTCACAATTCCGTCCAAGTAGTTTGTCACAGTGAAGTCCTCTTCGTTAAGTAAAACGATACCAAGTCTAGAAACAGTTGCTGGAGAAGCATGGCTCAGCTCATGGGTTTCAAAAACAAAATTAACATTTGGCCCAAATTTTATTTGCCAACCCGAAGGTAACGACAAAAGTCTATTGTCGTCTAGAACTGAATTTAGCGATTCTATCCACTCAGGGTCAATATCACCATCACATACTATCCACGACCAGGTGTCTGGAAATGAGGACATTAAAAACATATGAATGCCAAGATGCACGTCGAAGAGGGTATAGAAATTTGATAAGATATTGATGATGTTAAATATACTTAAAAATGTAGGGATGAGTTGCAAAGATAGAAGAGTGATACTTAGTTTGTATAAAGAGCAACAGGCAGTTATAGAGCTAGGGCTGCAACGTAGAGAAGTAAACATTAGGAAGGGAGTCAGACAGGGATGCACACTGTCACCGTTACCTATTAATCTATAAATCGAAGACGCGATCAACATCATTAAGGACAGTACAACTGTAGGGATAGATATCCAGGGGAAAAAGATTTCTTTGCTTAGATTTGCAGATGATATAGCCGTATTAGCATCCAGCAAGGAGGAGTTAGAGATAAAATGGAAGGAAAAATGACAAAACAGTACTGTATGAAAATAAATAAAAATAAAACAAAAATACTGGTATGCAAGGGAAGGAAAAGTAGGGAAAGAGCGAATATAAAGAAAGGAGACGAAAAATTATGCTCGCGAACGGTTAATTTAGAAATTCGAAAAAGGTTAAAGGTGTATGTTTGGAGCACGGCGCTGTACGGGTGCGAAACATGGACAGTGGTCTCGGCGAAAAAGAAAAGGTTAGAAGTGTTTGAAATGTGGTGTTACAGGCGAGTGATGAGGATACCGTAGATAGAGAAGGTTAGAAATGAAGAGGTATTAAAAAGAGTAAGAGAACAGAGGACTATATGGAAGTCAATAAGAAATAGGCGTGATAGGTTAGTAGGACACCTTCTCAGGCATGAAGGTCTAGTCAGAGACATATTAGAGCCAGAAACGGATGTTAGGAGGGGTAGAGGTGGACCTAGATTAGATTACTGTTCGCAAATAGTTAAGGACGTGGCTTGGTCTAGCTTTAGGGAAATGCGAAGATTAGCTGAGGATAGGAAAGAGTGGAGGTGCGTGTCCAACCAGTCTTAGGACTGACGACCTTATGATGATGATGAAGATATTAATGGAGACTGACACTCTATATGAAGAAACAATGAAATTGAGTGGAATAGAATGGAAAGACAAAATAACAAAACCGTGGAACTTTATTTCATGATTATTGTTTAATTTTCTATTCGTGACTGTGGGATTTCGTCATGATTTTTAGAATGAAACAGAAATGTTTTCAGAAGTGGTTTTGGAATGTAGAAGCGGCAATTTTAATGTGGACAACATACATGTTGAGTAATGCTGGCAGAACCAATAATATGTATACCTGGTGGTTCAGAGGTCACTTGCAGGCTGCAACTGGTCAAAACGCCATCCATCCACTGTCTGGTGTCGGTATCAATCTTCCCTAGAAGTAGTGTTTTATTTATTGCTTTCGGATTAAATGTTGTTTGCTTTAACACGTTCCCCATTTTGTTCAATGCCTAAAACATTAAGATGATCTTTCATTTTCCTTATGATTATTATTAAAACCATGCTCACATGAAACACTAAAGTCCGAACGACCGTTTTACCAGATCCTGAGGGACCCACTAAAGCCAC